GTTTGTGCCGGGGCACCGGATCTTTGGGGTGAACCAGCCTTTGCCGTAATGTGTTTTGGGGTTTGAAAGCCACTGGGACATCATGTTTAGGACACGCATCAGGACATAAAATAAAAATAACTTTCTTCATTAATTAGTGTGTCTACAGTCAGGGTTTAAAAGTAAATGCAGACGAGCGTCACATGGAAATGTTAAAAACCAACAGGGTTGTTTTTTTTAGGAATTTTTTCCTTTTCTTGTTGGTTTTGTTATCATTCGGTGCCGAGGCAAGAGGTCATCATGTTTTTGCTTATCTCTGCACATAAGTGTTCTTTTTATACTAACAAATAACGATGAATAAAGACTCCTTCACTTCATAAAGAGCAACGCCTCGGGCAGTGTGAAGCTGTGTGTTTGCACGTGACAAGATTCAGAGCGTGCAACCCTCAAAGACGTCCAGCCCAACAAAAAGACCTTTTCATGTGTTTACTGCATGCTGCTGTTCACCCACAGCCCGGGTAAACAGTGATGAAACAGTGATGAAGATCCTCTGAGGATGACGACACAATGGAATCATTCGATTTGAGACACAAACTCTTTGCATCAAAGCTGTACCAGATAAGTTTGTGACGGGGGAGATAGCCATATGTACATCTTAATCTTTTTTTTTTCTGTTACACTTTATGAGTTCAAAAGTAGAACTCATTCATTTCCACYACTTACAGAATCAACAGAGCTACAAAGATGTAAAGTGATGTGAGAGGTGTCATATGTATAAACGGGTAAAGAAGTTCTCTTTTCTAAAAAAATAAAATAAAAAAGAAAACACAAATAGCGGTTAACGATGTTGCGTTTTATAAACTTCCAATATCTCCATTTTTAGGAGGTGGCGCGGGCGACGCTTTGAAACCCAATTTTTTTAGCAGTCATCACATCCCGCCGAGCTGCTGGAGACAGACAGTCGAATGTGACCCTGGTGATGAAATCCCAGTTGCATAGCAACACATCTCCATCTGCAGTTAAGCTTCTCTCCTCTGCAGAAACAACTGTCATTTTTGCTTCACATGCAGTTTATTGTAATTAAAAAATTTTCCCGTAGAGGGGCAGAAACACCTTTGAAGAATACGGATCTTTTCTTTCACATACGCTCTAAAGATTGGGCTATCTTTAGATGCTTCTGTGTACAGCAGGTAGCATTGACACATCATTAAATATAGAGTTTTTGTTCCTAACAGCAATCAAGAACAGGTCTGTGGCAGCCTCATGCAAAGTGACTTCTTTTGATGTTGACTTTGCTAAAGCTATTTTTGCCATGTAAAAAAAATCTATTTCCTAACAATTATTGGTTGTAAAATAAAAATAAATAATAAATATATTATCAGTGCTAAACTGATTACTGTATTTTTGCATTGAGAATCCTTAGTCTAGCAGTTTTACATGCTTTAAATCAGGGCTATTCAACTAAATTGCTCCGAGGGCCACAGTTACCGCAGGTCAACAGCTCAGCGGCTGAACATCCAGCAAATAAAGTTATTATGTAAATAAACCAATCATTACAAAGATCTGTTACCTTTGAAATAGTTTATTTTGCTGAATTTAATCATGAATACAACATGGAGAACCCTATAAAAGTAGAGATAAAACAACAAAAACAAAACAAAACAAAAAAACACATTAAGCCTCCTATTTAACACAAACAGTATTTTGAAATCTCTGACTTGCTAAATTTTATTTTCACTTTCATAGATTGATCTTCAACTGCTTGTAGTTTTAACTGTCTTGGATGTTCATAGAAATGGTTTTACCGGCTTGTAGCCAAGATTCTGACAGCTCTGTAAATACTGCACATCTATGTCTAAATAAAACAACTTTTATAATTAAAGTAGAAAACGTAGTTTGGGCTCAAGAGATGAATGAACCGATTGGTGGGCCAAACTTTGGTCACTCACAGGCCGGACATGGCCCACGGGCCGCCAGTTGAATAACCCTGGAAAACACTAATTGCATCTGAAGTTTTATTTAAAGACTCATTAGCACACAAAGAGAAGATTTTTGCAAGTCTCAAGACACTTCATAAAAAACATTAAAAATCTTACATGGATTAATTAAATCTGCGGCGTTGGGTTTTGGATTTATAGACGCACAAATAAAAGAGCACACCTGTGTTTCCAACAATCCTCTGTGGYGAACAGAGCAGAGTGAAAGCCAAACTTCTGTCTGACTTGAATCTCAAAGCATTCCCTTTAAGATAATTACCCACAGTTTYATGACAGTCAGTTAATTAGTTTAATTCAGCCTGCGATAGAGTTATAAAGTTATTAATTTTTGCAAAAAATTGACTCCTTTGAAGTGTTGAAGCCTTGATTTTTAAACACAATATCAAGAAGTTATGGTCAAGCCATATTGTTGCACTAATCAGGTTCAAAATTTTAGGAAAATAACCTGTAAAACAAATATAACATTTAAATGACAATAAATACATGCCAAAGCATYAAGGACACAAAGGAAGAACACCTGAATCCTGATTATTTAATAAAACCAGCTTTTGAATACTTAACATAACTTTTTAGTAAGCATAATCTAAAACATGTTTTGCAGAAAACTAAATCACCACTTTGGTAGTTTGTTGCATATTACAATAAAGTCGTGTATCTTTTCATTATTGCTGCACATTTTGTTAAAGTCCTAAATGGGTGGCGAGATTATCTATTCATGTTACGTTTGTACATAAAAACACTGTTGGTCCAGATGGTTGTAAGTTTATTGGCCATGCCTGAATAATCACCCGGAGTGTGTTGTGTCTGTAGCTGCAGGCTTTCTGTTGTTTTCTTTCAGTTTTGGACCAAGCGCTCTCCCTCTGCGGATGTTCAAGCCTGGAGACAAATATTTCTAAAACAGAAAAAGCAGAGTCCACTGTCATGTTCTTACAGGAAAAATAAAATAAAATAAGTGTTTGCAAAGTGAATGTTTGTATAGGTTAATACACAAAGYAAGCATAACAAAAAACCCAGTGTAGCACAAAAAAACTGCACAAAAGTGTAATTATTACATAGAAAATGTTTAGTCACTGTTCATATTTGGCTTCTAACAAATAACACATTTACATGTTCAATACAGTAACATAACATTGGATCATTTTTTTCTTACTGCACTATATTATACTTTAAATAAAGTAAAACAGAAAAAAGAGTGAATATGTAAGAAAAAGAGAAATATAACTGTACTGCTGGAAGTATAATTGTGTATAAGTACAGTACTGCAGCTTTTCCAAATTAAATTATTTAGTTGTTTCAATTACTTTCTACCATCTATTTACCTGTCCATTACTGTAAACCTAAATCAGATTGATTAACGGTGCAATAGCGCCCTCAAGTGGAAACTAAACGGAATCACTGTTTCATCATGCATGTTTCAACAGTGCTGAAACGTGCAATCAGCTCAGCAAAATTACACAATGGGCACACAGATGTCATAACAAAAAGCAGAACAAAGCAAAGATTTGTTTAAAAATGTATTTTCTATTATTATTGAGACACCAAATATTTAAATTGTGCACATAARATGACCAAACAGCATTTGTTGTAGATAGATATATTGTAAAATGGCGTAAATGTTTGGGTTTGTGTCAGAACTAAACTTTGGCATAAGCTTTAATGCTCAGTGGAACTAATGGACTTAGATGATTTGGATTTTGGAAAAAAACATAAAGGAAAAAATAATAGAAGCGGTATGTTCTAAAATACTTACATTGTAGGAAAATACTGCCTTTTTTCATGCAAATATGAAAATAAAGCTATGCCTTGAACTAATTAAGCGTGGAAACACTAATTACCAATTATTATTCGTTTAATCAAATAGGATTCGATCACGTCAGGSTCGGATAAATATGTTACTGTACCTTTAAGAAATCGCATCAGGACAGCGCCTTCAAACCGTACCGCGCATGCGCACAGTTTTCCAACATGAATCTTTATGGCGGGCAGAGAAGTTGTCAGAAACTGTTCCAGGAGCAGCWCCGCTTAAAACTCTGAGCTCCAACATGGTTGAAGGTCCAGGCTGTACGTTAAACGGAGAGAAAATCCGCTCGAAAGTCAAAACGGGGCAGAAAGTGAWAGAGGTCAAGTGTAGTTCAACTGCAACGACTGTAAGTAAACGATAGTAATAAAAAACGATGACGAAATCTATTAGTTTCAGACTTGTCAATGTTTTTCCCACCACTACCAGTATGTTTGTGTATATATATATATATGTAAATGGGTATGGTTTTCAGCAAGGCTAAAGTCATTATAATTACATAGTTATGCATTTTTGTTGCTG